CATTTTCTTTGTTTCCCCACATTAACCCCACTCGTTTTATGGCTTTCTGGTTCAGTCGTAAACCAGGCCACATGGTTTGAGTTGTCCTTCTGCACCTGACAGCCCACTTTATCTCACTTCCCGGAGCAGCGGCGGGCTTGTCTTTGGCCCCAGTGAAACTTAGCTCTGTCTTTGGAAGGGCTGCTGCAGGCGAGATCAGGAGGCATCGCGCAGACCTTGTGAAGAGAGAGGATCAGTGCACAGCGCCTAACAAGGAGGAAGCTCCTGAGAATGAAGTGGAACTATGTCGCTTTACCGTGACTTTCAACCCCAAGTAAATTAATAATCAGACAGCCTTCCATTTTCAGAGCCTTACTGTTTTCATATACATCATAACAATCCTCATAACAATGTGGTATCCCAGAGAAAAAGGAGGAGCATTAAAATCTCTTTCTATTCTTCCGTCCACTGCTGTGTGACTCTGAGAAAGTTCCTCTTTCTGGGCCTCAGGTATCTCATCTGTATAATGGGAATGCTAATACTTCATGAGATTGTGTTGGGCATTAAGTTAAAGAGCACAACTTTTCACCCTTCTCAAAATGATCTGTGCTGTGCATTCCCTGGGGGCTCAGGGTCCTGTAATAGGAAGTGGACAAAGCCATGGAATAAATTAGCCATCTCTTCCCAGAATGTTCATTTAACTTGGCAACTGGTGGCAGGGGTGGGGTGGGAGTGGGGTTTCTTAGTAAAATTAAAGCAGATACATGATGTGAGGTCCACCTTAATTTTTAAAGAAAAACTCAATACGTTAAAGAAATGGCATGCTTGGGGCAGGCAACTTCAAGTCTTAACCTTGGAGCCCCGGCATCCCCCCTTTGCCGTGACGAGTGTTTCCGTGGAAAGGTCTGAGAAGCACTTGTATGTAAAGGTGTCTAACACAGTCTGTGCCACACAGCACAGTCTCATTGAACTTCCCATTCCTGTTTGATGAAGTATCCAGCTACATTTCCTAGCACTTACTTGATACCTCCTCTTGGATGTGCAGCTCATCACCTGCCCTCCAGACCTGACTCCCAGCCTGTATTCCCTGCCTTAGTCACTGACAACACTGTCGATTCAGTTATGCAAGTCAGGAAGCAAGGAGTCGTCCTTGGCCCCTCTCTTTCCTACATATACCTCGTCCGGTCTTTAACTTCTGGTTGCGTCCACGTTGCCACCTTCACGTGTCTTGGACGCATCCTTTGGCTCTGTTGCCAGCATCTTAGTCTCGGCTGCCATCATCCCCTGCCCAGATGTCTGTAATCACCTAGTAACTGGCCTCTTTCCAATCCATTCTCCACACTGAAATGAACATGCGTCTTTCAGATACTAAAATCTGATCATTTCTTCCCATTGCCCAGCCCCCTGCCCCTCCAGCTTCATCTCAAACATTCTCCACCTGGCGCTGGTGGCTGCAGCCACACCAACTTTCTTTCTCCTCCACCACGACACCATGATTCCTCTGCCAGGAGGCATTCATTGCCAAGCCTGCTCTGTTTGGATCATTTCCCTTAGCTCCTACCTGACTGCCCTTTGCTGAGATAAGATATATTCATCTTTCAAATCTCATCTCAAGGATCCTTTTCAGCCTGGGTGCAGTGGCTCAAACCTGTGATCCCAGCACTTTGGGAAGCTGAGACAGGAGGATTGCTCGAGACCAGGAATTAGAGAGCAGCCTGGGCAACATAGCAAGACCCTGCCTCTACAAAAAATTGAAAATTTAATTTTCATCATAGATGAAATTATGTATAGATGCACAATGGAGTGCATCTATGGTCCCAGCTATTCAGGAGGCTGAGGTGGGAGGATTGCTTGAGCTCACTGAAGCCTCAAATTCTTGGGCTCAAGCAATCCTTCCATCTCAGCCTCTCTAGTAAGCTGGGACCATAGGTGTACCCTACCACGGCTGGCTAATTTTTAAATTTTTTTGTAGAGATGGGGCTGTAATCATGCCACTGCACTCCAGACTGGGTGACAAAGTGAGACCCTGTCTCTTAAAAACAAAAAAAAAAGCTTTTTCTAATACCCCATGGAGGTGGGAGGATTGCTTGAGCTCACTGAAGCCTCAGATTCTTGGGCTCAAGCAATCCTTCCATCTCAGCCTCTCTAGTAAGCTGGGACCATAGG